TTTTTTTTCGAATACATAGTTTACAGTTTAAAAATCTGTCTGTGACTTTTGTTTGCCTATTGATCATCTTAGTAGCTCTTCAGTTGTTCATGAAGCACATGTTTCTTGAGTGTTCAAGGAGTGCCATAAACAGTGGTACTTGTCCTTGTTTGGTGTTTGTTCCCATCCAGTTGGCTGATTTAGTAAAAGCATCATCTGTTTGCGACGAAGCTTTGTTACAGGGATGTTTGTAGGCAAACCTCCAGCATGCAGGCTTTGTTTTTTTCACATGCGTTCAATCAATACATTTTCGGTTTGGACGGCTTTTTGTTTTGTTTTGCTTACGATTCATCGGTAGTTCAACTGTAGGAAGTTTTTTTTACATTTAATTTTGTTTACAGGACGAGAACCGAAAACACTCAACTTTGGAAACCACAGTTTTTCTGTGTGCTTGTTAAAGTAACTGTCATTTAACCTTTTTTACTTATTGGGGAACTTTTTTCTTTGCTTTTATAGAGTATATTCGCGTAGTCGGTCTCTTTATTAATATAGTCTAGATCATCCAACTGTCGTTCTGAAATTGTTTCTGATCGACTGTTAACTGGTTTCTTCGGTTTTTCGGGAAACGCATAATTTTATACGGTCTAAATGCATAAAAGTTGTGCATGATTCTCTTGGTCCTCTTGCAGAAACGAAATATCTTTTGAGATCAGTTTTTTTGTTTACTATTTTATTTCAGTATTATCTTTAAATTTATCTTTGACACTACGTGCCTTCAAAGGATTCGCTATAACATTTCAATATTTCCACTGCATAAAGATAAATGGCCAGAAAAGTTTAAAGATTCAACACCACTACCTGTTCCAAGTGGTGATGATGATATTTTCTTGATGCATAGATCTTAAGCAGTTTTTAATTGTTCAGTATTTAAGTTGTTCCAAATTGTTTTTATTTATGCTTCAAATGATGGTTCTTTATTCTAGTTGGAGATAAGGCATTAGATGGGTTTTGACATGTAACTCAATGCTTGCGCTTTATATTCATAATTCAATTGATAGAAAGCTTCAGATTAAGGATGTGGTGTTTTTTGGTGTGTAATTGAAATTCTTTTCCTCCTATCAGTGCAAACGTTTTGGCTTTATGTTCACATCGCGGAGTAATATTGATTTTGGAAGATTTTTCCTTGTTTGGGCGGAGTTTTTTTCTTACTCCAAATTCCCTCTAGCTTCATTCTCTTTAAATTCAGTTCTTCAGGACGACTGCGCTCTTGTCACGTTGAAAGAATTTTTCAAGTGAATTTGCTCAGCTGTGACTTCTCTTCCTCTTTTTTTTTTCTTTTTTTCTTTTTTTTTGCAGGTATTTGGGAGTAGAAGCGACAGTAACACTGGAGAACTTCGATTAGAGGGACTTTTCAATCATGGCTTGGGCTAATACAGGGATGCAAGCCCTCATCCCAGTTGTTAACAGATTACAGGTTGGTTTTTTCATGGATAAATCTTATTTCAATGGAGACGTCCTGCTGTGGTTTCTGAGATATGCACAGCATAGTATTGGAACATCGAAATGTTGATTTATTCTTACGAGTGACATCAATTTTTTAAATTCTACTATACAGGCTGGAGAATTTCCTTTGTTGGAAGTTTCTGTGAAAGGGTTGTATTAGTGGCTAAGTTTCTCAAAACTGTGACTTCAAACTTTTTCCTCGTTTCTAATAATTGATCATTTCGTCGAAAATTTAATAGTCATTCTTAAATGTATTATCTTGAGGATTTGGACAGTAGTTTAATTTAACCTGAAATTTTTGGAAAACTTTCTCAGCTTTCTGATTGATCTCGTTGTTTTATTCACGTCGAAGTTGGATTCTTAATGCTTCAAAGTTGAGGAAGGTCGTCATTTTTCTTGTCAAGTTTTAGATAATGGTCTTCAAACATCTTCTTGATGAATCGAAAAATGAATTGAATTTTAGAACTTCTGACTGAAGAGTACATCCCACTTCTTTGAATTACTCTTTTATTTTTGTTTCTTATGAGGAGCGTTGTGAAAAAACACTTGTATTAAATTCGTTCTAGTAGTTCGGTTGTAAGCTATGCAAGTTTCATTTACTACTGGGTTCAGAGGAAAGATGGGGAAGACTAGTTCATATAAAGCAAAGATTTTTGATCAAACGGCTAGCAACAGCTAATGTGAAGCGGCTCTGTTTGCTACAGGTGTTTTCTCTGCCATTTTCTAATCTTTTTATACTTTTATTACTTTTTTTTGCTGGTTCAGGATGCATTCGCCCAGTTAGGGACTTCGCTGAACTTTGATTTACCACAAATAGCTGTCGTGGGAGGTCAGAGTGCCGGGAAGTCGTCAGTGCTTGAGAACTTCGTTGGCCGGTATGTTTAAGGCTTCTGGTATATTGCTTTCTGAAATAAAGAATTGGTTTTCTTTTTTGCTTACTTACGTTTTTTAGTGATTTTTTACCTCGTGGTTCCGGAATTGTAACTCGACGACCTCTTATATTACAACTGATTCAGGATAGAGCTGGTAAGTTAAAAATCTTTCTCAGTTTTTTATACATTCAAACCGATAATAACTTTATATAGAGTATGCCGAGTTTCTTCATAAAAAGGGACAGAAGTTTGTCGATTTTGATCTCGTGCGTAAAGAAATCGAGGATGAAACAGATCGTTTGACAGGTCTTAACAAAGGCATTTCGCCCGTCCCCATTAACCTTCGAGTTTTTAGTCCAAACGGTATCACCTTTTTTTCGTTGACGTTTTACAATTTATACGTGTTTCTGTAAATATCAAGGCTTTTTAAGTAAACCTGACTCAGTTTAATGGACTTACATCTTTTAGTTTCTGTTTTTGTGAGATTTCAATCTTTTTTAGTGTTGAACCTTACACTAATTGATCTGCCTGGAATGACTAAAGTTCCAGTTGGAGACCAACCTCCAGATATTGAAAGACAGATAACCGATATGATACTGACATACATATCTAGGGAGACCTGCCTGATACTTGCCGTGACGCCAGCAAATAGTGATCTTGCGACGTCAGATGCTTTGAAGCTAGCGAGAGAAGTATTGTTGAAAACTTCAAAAAATTTCATGAAACACTGGTTACATAACAGTCAGTGAGAAATTTTTGGTAGCTTATTGAGTATCTTTTTTAGGTTGATCCACAAGGTCTACGAACTATTGGAGTTATTACAAAACTTGATCTTATGGACGAAGGCACGGACGCTAGAGATATCCTTGAGAATCGAGTATTTAGTTTGAGGAGAGGTGAATAGATTTGTTTTGCCAATATTTTTCTACGAACATATTTCTACAGCGTTTTAATGGCTACTTTTTTTTTTCAGGTTACGTTGGTGTGGTTAACAGAGGTCAAAAGGATATTATGGGAAAAAAGGATATTAGGGCAGCTTTGGATGCTGAAAGAAAATTTTTCATTTCTCACCCTGCTTATCGGTGAGTATTATTGATTTTAGTCAGTTTGCCTTGAATTATTAGTTAGAGTATTGTAGATTAAAAAGAGGAGGGGGGGTGGGTTGCGAATGTTAGTTTTCCATAAAAATGTTTCTCTTTTCTTGATGGTATTATTATTCCTGTCGCTGTATTCTACAAAATTAACGGTTTCATCCACTTTGACGCATAATGTTTTATTTGATTTTCTTCTGTTTTTGGTAGGTTACTCTTTCAGCAAGCTGCTTCTCTCTGTATTGCAGTTAAAATTGTTAAAGATTAATTTTTTTTTAAGAAATGGAACTTTTTAGGCACATGGCTGATAGGCTGGGGACACCTTATCTGCAGAAGACGTTGAATCAGCAATTGACAAATCATATAAAAGATACTCTTCCCGCGTTAAGAGACTCTCTGCAGAAAAAATTATTTGCATTGGAAAAAGATGTAGCTGAATACAAAAATTTTTCTCCAAACGATCCATCTAGAAAAACAAAAGCTCTTAT